GAGTAACTGGTGATGAACTAGATATTTTACTAATTACCTGTAAGTACCACTAGTTACCACTTCATGCCCTAGACTGGTGAATTTAACATGTGTATGTCATTGGGGAAGTCAATTGTCCCCTGCCTGCGTTATAGTCATTTCGATAGTCGATTCATTACCCTTTGCATTACCAGTAACTACTGAATTGGTATGATGTGTGTAAACAACTTTTTCAGTTGACAAAAAAATCCAACAGTCTATTTTGTGTTCCTTTTTGGGGTATGAAGTAACTAGATCACCAAGTAACTAGCTATATAACTATATAATAGCAGACAATTGATATTTTTTGTACAACTGGGTTTTGTTGAGCATGTGAAACATAGAGGAGTGTATGTGTGTATGCATGTGTGTGTGTGTACACGTTTAAACAACACTAATTATTTGTGCAATTTTTGTTATTAATTAACTAATTAATGTAAATATGATATTAATCCACCAACCGACATAAACTCGTTTTCACTTAACAAAAGATGTGGGACAATGACGAACAGCAAAAAATAATTGGAAACGAAAAAAAAACGAACGACTGAAAATAAAATTAAATTGAATTTAATAATAATGGTAATAAATTTTATTTGATGAAACAAAAAAATTACATAAGAAAATATTAAATATTTAAATTTGAACACAGATGGTGCAGGCGTGGATTTTTTAGATTTTTCATTGATTTTTTTATGGTTTTATACAGGCGAGGATTTTTTATAAAATATGTTTTTCAGGATTATATACAGGCGTGGATTTTTATACCCTTCACCACACAGTGAAACAGGGTATTACGTCTTTGTGCATATGTTTGTAACAGACAAAAGGAAACGAGATAGACCCATATTTCCTTTTGAGAATATGCATAGAATCACTTTTTAATCGATTTCGATTTATGCATGTCCGTCCATATGTCTGTCCATGTTAAATTGTAAACAAAGTACAGGTCGCATTTTTGATTCGAATTGAATGAAATTTGGCACAGCTCATTTAGTTGGCCCAAGGACGAACTCTATTTAAATTGGGAAAAATCGGTTAAGATTTAGAAATAGCTCCCATATATAGTTTCGTCCGATTTAAGTTAATGGTGCACCAAAGTCCCTATATATCATTCGATTTTCACGAAATTTTGCATAATGTACTGAATTAAGTCTAGAAAGATGTGTGTTAAATTTCGTGAAAATCGGTGCATCAAAGTCCCTATATATCTCTAAATTTGGACCAAATTTGGCAGAGCGTACTGAATTAAGTCTAGAACGATGTGTGTTAAATTACGTGAAAATCGGTTCAGATTTCGAAATATCTCTTATATACAGTGGCTCCATCGCATAATCGGACAAAAGGAGTATTAACTAAAACCAGAAGATTTTTGGAAGCAGGTAAGTTGATGATAGATCATCTTAAAATACATTTCTATTGATAGTTTTCATTATATAAAGATTATGTTTACTGACGAAAGCAAATTTAACTTGCACGGGTCAAATGGAAAGATGTATGTGTGGCGTAAGCCAAATGCTGAATTTAATCATAAGAATACAAAAGCCACTGTTAAGCACGGAGGAGGTTCTGTTATGGTTTGGGGCTGCATGTCGAGTGCGGGAGTAGGCAATTTGCATTTTATTGATGGAAAAAGGAAAATTTTGTCTACCTCAACATTTTAAAACAAAATGTAAAGCAAAGTGCAGACAAATTGGGTATCGCGAACAACTTTGCCTTTTATCAAGACAACGATCCCAAGGACACATCAGGTGTTGCAAAGCTTTGGTTGACCCATAACTGCCCAAAACTTATACAAACACCAGCACAGAGCCCAGACCTTAACGTAATTGAGCATCTTTGGGAAGAATTAGCTAGTAGAGTGTATGAAAAAAATTTAACTCCTTAGTACAGCTTAAGGTGGCTTTACTGGAATCTTGGAACTCCATAGAGCCGGAGGTATGCCAAAATTTGGTCAAATCAATACCGAAGCGTTTACAGGCCGTTCTGGACAACAAAGGATATGCAACTAAATATTAATTTCTCGATTTTTTCATTTTTTAACATTGATACTTTGCTTTGTCCGATTTTGCGTTGAACACAATAAATTGAGTTAATTTTGTTTTTCTGACGAAATTTACTGTTATCACTAGAAAAGTTGTTGTTTTTTGTATTGTTCAGAAATATAAGTAAGTAATGTGTAAATAAAAGCGAAAAAAACTTCACATTTAGACAATTTTTTTTGAAATGTATAGCATTTTTATATCTGACAACCACTTGTCCGATTATTCGATGGAGCCACTGTATATATATATATATATATATATATATATATATTTTCGTCCGATTTTATGTAAATGACCCAAAGCCCATATATATCCATCGATTTGTACGAAGTCTGGATTTATAAGTAAATGAACAACTCAAAATGTGACCGAATGCACAAAATATACTGAACCAGTAAGAAAGTAGTAAAGTCGGACTGGGCCGACTATATGATACCCTTCACCACTATGGGTATATTCGGGGTTTTGTTATATATCTAAATATGAACCGATTTCAGGGAAACTTGCCAGAGACTTATGTATATTACTTCAGTACGTTGTGTCAATTGGCCTAGCAATGGCCTTTTCACGAAGCTTAGCAACATCATTATAGACTTAGTTCAATACGCTTTGCCAAAATTCGTGCAAATGAAAAGATTTCCGGACTTTGACACACCATTTACCTAAAATTGGGAAAAACTATATATGGGAGCTATTTCTAAATCTGAACCGATTTTCATGAACTTAGCATATTATTATAGACGCAATTCAGTACGCTATGCTGAATTTCGTGCAAATCGAAAGCTATATAGGATCTTTGGTGCACCAATTACCTTAAATCGGATGAAAATATATATGGGAGCTATCTCTAAATCTGAATCGATTTTCACGAAACTTTGCACAAATCATTCTAGACTTAATTCAGTACGCCATGCCAAAATTCGTGCAAATCAAAAGATTTCCAAGGACTCTGGTGGACTATTTACCTAAAATCGGACGTAACTATACATGGGAGCTATATCTAAATCTGAACCGATTTTCACGAAACTTTGCACACATCATTCTAGACTTAATTCAGTATGCTGTGCCAAAATTTATGCAAATCAAAAGATTTCCATTTCTAAAATCGGAGTTAAATATATATTTGAGCTATATCTAAATCTGAACCGATTTTCACGAAACTTTGCACACATAATTCTAGACTTAATTCAGTACGCTATGCCAAATTTCGTGCAAATCGAAAGATATATAGGAACTTTGGTACACCATTTAACTTAAATCGGACGAAAATATATATGGGAGCTTTATCTAAATCTGAACCGATTTTTCCCAATTTCAATAGGGTTCGTCCTTGGGCCGAATATGTGACCTGTGCCAAATTTCATCCAATTCGGATTATAAATGCGACCTGTACTTTGTTTACAATTTAAGATGGACAGACAGACGGACGGACATGCATAAATCGACTCAGAAAGTGATTCTATGCATATTCTCAAAAGGAACCATGGGTCTATCTCGATTAGTTTTGCCTGTTACAAACATATGCACAAAGACATAATAACCTGTACCACAGTGGGGTGAAGGGTATAAATATGTGTAACCGAATATGTGACTAGTTTCGAAGAAATCGGTTTAGATTTCGATATTTTGCTTTAAACATATTTACATAATTTTGTACCATTGTAATTCAGAAGCAACTTTATGTCTGACAAAAATTTAGTATAGGTTGCAGAATTACATCTGTTGAATATACCCAAAGTGGTGAAGGGTAAAAAAAAAATATTTTTCAAGGAAATATCAAGGCGTGGATTTTTTAAAAATATTTTTTTCAAGGAAATATTGACCTATGTAGAGTCCTTATGCCTGAGAAGAATTTTTATGGCTTCTCACTATCTCTCTCAACATAATAATCATCAATATATATTATCTAATGATTTTATCTATTAATTATCTTTTAAAATAATTCCCCATTTAAAATTACCCTCCCTCCCTTCTCTCTTTTACACCCACACAAATTTAAACTAAACACTTGAACTAATTAATATCTTTTATGATTATTACAGATTATCACAATTTCGGTTTTTGGTTTGCTGTGTGAGTGTACCGAACACAAACATATTTGAAAAATTTTTTGTTGGATAACAAAAACCCACAACCCACGAAGAGGATTTACGCCAACATTAACAATAACAGCAACAAATAATCAAAATAATTATAAAAGCAACAGCAACAACGACCAGAACGTCAAAGAGGACGCCAAAGACCACAACAACGACAACAACAACAACAACGTTTACCCACAGCCCCACAAATATTCAAACATGATTAATGATATGACCACACTACAAACAGACCTTAAATTCGACACTCACATAAAAAAGGATTATGCGACAAATATGAAATTTTTCAACAACAACAGCAACAACAATAATAACAACAACAGTGAAAATTTATCCATGAAGGCATTGGCCGCCGCAGCACCACTACAATTTCCCAATGTTGAAATTACCAATAATATTATGGACATAATGGAGGGTAAGTTTGGGGATGAAATATTTTGAAAGCGGGGAACAATTTTAAATTCGGAAATTTTTGGCGAGAGGGACATTTGTCTTTTTTTAATTTAAGAATTAATTTTAATTCAAGTTGTAATTGTGTTAATTTTTTATAAAGGCGTTTTTAATTGTTTGTATGGTTTGCATTTGAAAGATTTATTATTTTTTGTTGTTGTGAAAAGTAACAAGTGCAAAAAAACTTTGGAAACCTCCACCATAGGTATACTGACATGAAATGATAATATGGGAAACATACCAAAAAGTGAACCTATACCGATAATTCTACCAACCGGTTTTATGTAAGTTTATGAAAACCGCAAAGCGTGGACTGATACTAATAACGCATGGTAGAATATACAATCCTCAAAATTCTGCAATTTCGATTACATACTGTAGGAATTAGCGAATATTTGGGGTTATGGTTGTATGAGGACTATGGCTAATCAATGCCCGACATATGTCAATTTCGAACAAAATATTTTTGTTTTGTGTCAGATGGATACATCGTATTAGAATTCCATAATTTGTAGGATATTTCGAGTAACGACTATCTCCTATACTATGGTAGAATACGCCTATATGGGGACAATCCGGTTGAAAAGCGCGCTCAAGAACCCCCAAAATACCGTAAATTGGGGGGTATCGTTATATAGAGGCTACCAGAAAAAGTGAACCGATATTTATAATTTTTAGTGGAGACATTTGGTACCCAATAAGAACCCAATGTACCAAATTTCAGCGAATTCGATTGAAAAGCGCGCTCAAGAACCCCAAAATATCGAAAATTGTGCGGTACCCTTATATGGGGGCTATGCCTAAACGTGGACCAATATAGCCCATCTTCGAACTTGACTTGCCTGCAGACAAAAGACGACTCTATGCAAAATTGCTGGCGATCTATCTCAATTCCTTCAGAAGATAGCGTGATTAAAACAGACGGACGGACAGGACTAGATCGTTTTAGAATTTTGCCCTGATCAAGAATATATACTTTATAGGGTCGGAAATGAATATTTCCATGAGTTACAAACGTTACAATGACAAAATTAATATACCCTCCATACTATGATGGAGGATATAAAAAGGACTTAAGATTTTAGAATTTATTTTAAGATGACCATGGGCCTATGTACGATCTCGATTTTACTGCTATTGTTTTCTCGCCTATTAAAACTCCTTAAAAATTATTCGTTGAGAAATCCACGCTTACTGAAGATCGTTGAACACATTCTTTAAGACCTTTTTGGGGTCTTTAAAAAATCCACGCCTATTGAAGAAACTTCAAAAATATTCTTTATGACCTTTGTGGAGTCTTTAAAAAATCCACGCCTATTGAAGGAACTTCAAAAATATTCTTTATGACCTTTCTGGGGTCTTTAAAAAATCCGCGTCTATTGAAGGAACTTCAAAAATATTATTTATGACCTTTCTGGGGTCTTTAAAAAATCCACGCCTATTGAAGGAATTTCAAAAATATTCTTTATGACCTTTCTGGGGTCTTTAAAACAATCACGCCTATTGAAGGCACTTTAGAAATATTCTTTATGACCTTTCTGGGGTCTTTAATAAATCCACGCCTATTGAAGGTCATTAAAAAATATTCTTAAAAAATTTACGCCTATTGAAGGTCCTTAAATAAATATTCTTAAAAAATCCACGCCTATTGAAGGTCCTTACAAATATCCTTTATTTAATCCACGCCTATTGAAGGTCCTTAAAAATATCCTTTATTTAATCCACGCCTATTGAAGGTCCTTAAAAAATATTCTTAAAAAAAATCCACGGCTATTGAAGGTCCTTAAAAAATATTCTTAAAAAATCCACGCCTATTGAAGGTCCTTAAAAAATATTCTTAAAAAATCCACGCCTATTGAAGGTCCTTAAATAAATATTCTTTGAAAAATCCACGCCTATTGAAGGTCCTTAAAGAAATATTCTTAAAAAAATCCACGCCTATTGAAGGTCCTTAAAGAAATATTCTTTAAAAAATCCACGTCTAGGTCCCTTAAGAAATATTCTTTAAAAAACCCACGCCAAGGTCCTTAAAGAAATATTCTTTAAAAAATCCACGCCTAGGTCCTTAAAGAAATGTTCTTTAAAAATCCACGCCTAGGTCCTTAAATAAATATTCTTTCAAAAGTCTACGCCTGTTGAAGGTCCTTAAATAAATATTCTTTAAAAAGTCCACGCCTATTGAAGGTCCTTAAAAAATATTTTTAAAAAATCCACGCCTATCCACGCCGATGGAAAACCCTTTAGAAATACTCTTTGAAAAATCCACGCCTATTGAAGGTCCTTTACTTTTTTTTTAAATCCACGCCTTGTGTAGGTCCTTTAATTTTTTTTTAAATCCACGCCTATTGAAGGTCCTTAAAGAAACAATTCTTTAAACAATGCACTCCAAACTATTTAAAATTGCTATTCATATGCACTGACCCACTTTCGTGTGTTAACATTGAAATCATTTTCCATTTCACTTTTCAAAATAATTACAAATAAATTTCCCATTCAATTAAACGATCAATAAACCCAATATTTATAATCCACTTAAATGATGGATGAGCACAGCGAGTAGTACCTTAATTAAATAAAAAAATCGTTTAAATCACTTAATTTTGTTTTAGCACAGTTACTGACGACAACGGCGACTTTCGTTAACGAGGCATCGTCGAGTGAATGAGCGAACGTACGAACGAACGCACGAACAAGTACAAAGTCAACACATTTCAAGTGTTTGAGGCCAATAGATCAGAATAATCGCCTGATAGTTACTTCAAGATACAGCAACGAAAACAAAAAAACTAGTCAGCAAACTAAGAATGAAAAAATAAGCCAATTGCCTAACATCATTACGCTGGAAAACTGCTCATCGTTGGCTGTTGTCGTCGTTAGCTAAGAGTTTTTTTCTATTTACATAGAATGTTTTTTTTTTGTTTGCACTTGCCAACCTTTTTTAACGCTTCGGCGTATGCAACTCGCTCATTGAGTTGCAGTTTTTTTTGCAATTCAAGCAGCAGCAGCAATTTGCAATTAACATAAGTCAACAAAACGGTTTTTACTTGTGAGCATTTTGAAGAGATTTTTTTAGAACGTAGCTTCTTGGTAGTGTGGTGGGGAAAAGAAGAACATTTTGAGGAGTCGAGGAGGGAAGGGAATTTTTGCTACTTTCCTTTTCTCAAAGTTCATATAATAGTAATTAGCGAATTATCTTTGAAATCGTTTTAAAAAAATAGTATAGAGTTTAGGTGGAAAGTCTTACTTTTTAGACTGGACTATATATATTTTATCCACGCCTTGTGGATTCTTTCAAAAAATATTTCTTAAAAAATCTTCTCCTTGTAGATTCTTTCAAAAATATTGCTTAATCCAGTAAGGAAAGTATTAAAGTCGGACTGGACCGACTATATGATACCCTTCACCACTTTGGGTATATTGTACATACGTATCCTAAAAGATGTCGCCTCTTTGAAGGAACTTTGACATGAAATTCAACGAACTTAAATATATGATCTTTATCTTCGAACGTATATATAATCTTTATCTATATCTAAACCGACTAACATCAATCCCTACAAATGTCATTTTGCAACCTATACTAAATTTCGTACATCGATTTAAAGCAAACTTGACATACTTCGGTATGCAGCACTGTTTAACATTTAATCTCAGTCAGACTCCCATTGATTATTTGGTGTACGATTAACATGAATAAGTCGAAATTCTATATAGAAGCTATGTTGTATCTATATCTGAACCGATTTCAAGGAAACTTGTCAAAGATTAATTTTCGTTGTGTCAATCGGCCTAGCTATGGATCTTTAGTGCACCATTTACTTAAAATCGGGCGAAAATATATATAGGAGGTGTACACATCATTTTAGACTTAGTTCAGTACGCTATGCCAAATTTCGTGGAAACCGAAAGATATATATGGACTTTGATAACTTCTAGACTTAATTCAGTATCCTATACCAAAAGTCGTGTCAATCAAATAATTTGCAGGGACTTTGGTGCACCATTTACCTAAAATCGGTCGAACATATATATGGGAGTTATATATAAATCTGACCCGATTTTCTTGAAACTTGGCACACGTCATTTTTGACCTAATTCAGTACTTTATGCCAAATTTCGTGCAAATCGAAAGATATATAGGGGCTTTGGTGTCCCATTTACCTTAAATCGGACGAAACTATATATGGGAGCTATATCTAAATCTGCAACGATTTTCACGAAACTTAGCACACATCCTTCTGGACCTAATTCAATACTCTACGCCAAATTCCGTGCAAATCGAAAGGTATATAGGGACTTTGGTGTACCATTTACATAAAATCGGACAAAACTATATATGGGAGCTATATCTAAATCGGAACCGATTTTCAGGAAATTTAGTACACGTCATTCTAGACTTAATTAAATACACTATGCCAAAATTGGTGCAAATCGAATGATTTTCGGGCACTTTGATGCACAATTTACCTAAAATCGGTCGGAACTATATATGGGAGCTATATGTAAATCTGAACCGATTTTCAGGAAATTTAGTACACATCATTCTAGACTTAATTCAATACGCTATGCCAAAATTCGTGCAAATCAAAAGATTTGCAAGGACTTTGGTGCATCATTTACGTAAAATCGGGCGAAGGTATAGATGGGAGTTATATGTAAATCTGAACCGATTTTCACGAAACTTAGTACACGCCATTTTAGACTTAATTAAATACCCTATGCCAAATTTGGTGCAAATCGAATGATTTTCGGGCACTTTAGTGCACCATTTACCTAAAATCAGAGATTGGAGCTATATCTAAATCTATATCTAATGAAAAAATATTCTTTAAAAAATCCACGCCTTGTGTTGATCCTTGAAAAAATATTTCTTAAAAAATCCACGCCTTGGGCGATCCTTGAAAAAAATATTCCTTAAAAAATCCACGCCTTGGGCAGATCCTTGAAAAAATATTCCTTAAAAAA